TATATATATTCGCGCGTGTAAATTAACTAGTAGGCAAATAATTGATCTGTAAGCCAAAAGATAATATAGAAGCAGTTAAATCGATAAAAGAATCCATGTTGTTTATTCGCACGAGGATGAGTCCGCATCCTCATGCAAGTTTTTGCTATTTTATACGTTTCAGATCTGCAAAAGCTTCAACTTTCCTTCTCTGTCCACAGTCCAAATGAGAAGTCAAATGTTTTCTCAGCTTGTCTTGATCCAACTACTCACCATCTACTGTAGAATTAATGAAGTAGTGGCAGCTAATTCTAGTAAATGTCTTCAGGATCAGAAGATGTTGCTGTTGCAGCTCAGAACTAATCTTACTTATGATTCTGAAATATCCACCAAGCTGGTGAAGTGGAATCAGAGGATTGACTGCTGTCAATGGCAGGGCATCACTTGCAATGGTGCAGGTCAAGTTATCGGTCTTGACCTTACTGATGAATTGTTCTCAGGCAGTATCCATCCGTTAGCAAATCTTAAATTTCTATCTGTAATCCGTCTTGACCGGAACAATTTATCTGCTCCAATTCTAGACTTCTTTTTGGACTTATCCAATCTAACTGTCTTGAGTCTAAGATCCTGCAACTTGATAGGACAAGCACCTCAGAAGATATTCCAGGTACCAACTCTGCAGACTATTGACTTGTCACAAAATGAAATGCTTGGAGGTTCTTTACCTGAATTTCCTTCAAATGGATCTCTACAAACTCTGGTTCTAAGCAATACAGGATTCTCAGGAAGTATACCCACGTCCATTGAGAACCTTAGCATATTGTCACAAGTTGACCTTAGTTTATGTAATTTTAAAGGTCCAATTCCGTCTTCTATGGTAAAATTAACCAAACTTGTTTATCTGGATTTCGACCGGAATAGCTTCACGGGTTCATTTCCATCTTTTAAGCTGTCCAAAAACCTCAGTTATATTAACTCAGCAAGAAATTATTTGACAGGAATATCATCCGACTGGGAAGGCTTTGAGAATCTTGAAGGACTCGACTTGAGTAACAATTCTATTTCTGGGCCCATTCCAGCATCATTGTTTTACCTCCCCTCACTTTCAGGTTTAGATCTGTCCAACAACAAATTTTCTGGCCAAATAACTGAACTACAAAATGTGACTTCTCCACTAACAGATCTTGACTTGAGTGCCAACAAATTGGAAGGGCCAATACCTGAGTTTTTTTTTGAGCTGCACGATCTCTTAGATCTTGAACTTTCATCCAACAATTTCAATGGTACTGTGCAGTTGAAGAAGTTCACAGAGCTTAATAAGCTCGTAAATCTTGATCTTTCCCACAACAGTTTATCAGTTGACACAAATATAAGTGAATCGGAACTTTCCTTGCTCCCCCAGCTGAACAGTTTAATGATGGGATCATGCAATCTGCAGAATCTCTCCTTCCTCAAGAACCAATCCAGATTGTCTATGTTAGATCTCTCAAACAACAAACTCACTGGTGAAATACCAAACTGGTTGGTGGAGATCACTGATGGACTTCTCCGTTTTCTGAATCTTTCTGTCAATCAATTCACGCATTTTCAAGAACCTTATAGATTTGGCCGTCTAAATTTCCTTGATCTGCATTCAAATCTACTCACTGGGGTTATTCCATTACCACCACGTGCAGCTGCTTATATTGACTTCTCCAACAATAATTTTGCTACTATGATACCGCCTGACTTTGGCAATTATCTTGTAACTGCTTGGTTCCTCTCAATTGCAAACAACAAAGTTATTGGCAGTATTCCTTCTTCAATCTGCAATGCGCGCTATCTTGAAGTACTTGATTTGTCTAACAATACTTTGAATAGCACAATACCGCCATGTTTAGCAGAAAAGAGCAACACGCTGAAAGTACTGAACCTGGGAAAGAACAATCTCTCAGGAAATATACCTCGAGAGTTTTCTCATAATTGTCAATTACAGAGCCTTGACCTCAGTCAGAATTACTTAACAGGTGAGCTTCCTCGATCTTTATCCAACTGCACAAATCTGAAGCTAATAAATCTGGGAAACAACAAGATTAGGGATACCTTCCCCTGCTGGTTGAGGAACTTATCCAATTTGCGTGTACTTGCATTACGTTTTAATGGTTTCCATGGGAACATTGATTGCTCTAGAGTGAGTTCCAACTGGACAGCTCTTCAAATCATCGACCTAGCTTCCAATAATTTAGGGGGCATTCTGTCCCGAAATTCATTCTTGGAGCTAAATGCAATGACTGTTGACCCAGCTGTGGCGCATTCACGCTTTGATCACTTGCACTTTGAGTCTATATCTGTTAGGCCAATTTACTATCAGGACACAGTCGGTCTTTTTCTTAAAGGACAAAACGTTAAATTGGAAAAGATCCCTGTTTTCTTCACCTCCATTGACTTTTCAAGTAACAATTTTGTGGGGGACATACCAGAGACAGTTGGAGATCTCAAATCACTTTATCTTCTCAATATTTCACACAACAATCTCACAGGTCAAATCCCTCCAGCAGTTGGAAATTTGAAGCTATTGGGATCACTGGATCTCTCTTCAAACAAGTTGGGTGGTAATATCCCAGAAAAGCTTGCTAGCCTCACATTTCTTTCCTTCTTAAATTTATCATATAATGAACTGGTAGGAATGATACCACGAGGCACCCAAATTCAAACATTCACAGAAAGTTCTTTTATAGGAAACAAGGGGCTATGTGGGTTTCCGCTGAACATAACTTGCAAAAACAATTCAGCAGTGGCACCTTCAGAGCCAGAATTTGAGGAGGAGAAATTATTTTCAATGACGGAGGTTTATGTCAGCGTTATGTTAGGATTTGTTGTTGGTATTGGCATCATCTTTCTACCACTTTTATTCTCTAAAAGGTGGAAACAGTCGTACAACAAACTAATTGATGGATTGATTTTAAGGATATTTCAGCAGCAAGATCAAGACGGGAGAACTAGTAAAAGCATTAGCGAAGCATCTCGGAAGAAGGCAGCGGGGAAATCAAGAGGCAGTCATTAAGTTCACAAGATGATTGCAGAGAAAGGTTTTTGCTTCTTATTCTATTGCAGTCCTTTTGCTTGAACAAAGGACTTCCCTGCAGTATGCTCTTACTATTACTTCTAATTGTTTCCACTCTGAGTTACCATATTTCCTTACCTCTCATGATTCATCTTTGTTGCTTCTTACATATGATAGCAAAGTAGTTTGCCTACCCATAAGATAAAAGCTACAAGAGAAAATGTAATCTCGATTTATACTTTGTACTTGTAGGCAACACTCAGTGCATAGTTATAATGAACCTGATAACTATTACCGACTAAAATGGCTCCTGCACGTTTTTTTCCTGAAAGTGAATAATTTAGAGGCAGTTTAGAACTAGTATTGCAGCAAGTAGATAAAGAATGTACTGATGGAAATGCATGTAACATTCTCAAAAGTAAACTAAAGCACAGCATTGTCAGAAGCCAAAAAAAGAAAAGTATTGCCTCAGGCAGGGGCGAATTTAGGGGGGCGGAGGGGGATCCGAATCCCCTTCGCCGAAAAATTACATTGTATATATAAGGCAAAATCTATTTTTTACCTTTATATATTAAGTTTTGAAATCCCTTGGCACAGTCCAAAAGTGTAGCTTAGTGGTCAAGGGGTTCAAAATCTTTGAAAGGTCATAGGTTCAATTCCCACTAGCTATGATCTTTTTTTTCTTGAACCCCCTTCGCGAAGATCCTGCCTCCGCCACTGGCCTCAGGTCAACTTCGAAGAAGCATTTCAACAAGCACCTGCTCGGCATAGACAGGTCAGAGCTGAATTTATGCAACAAAATTCAGAATTGAACTCTTAGAATATGGTCTCATTATATTGAAAAAGGCATAAAAGGATAAGTTTCAAATCTCCAGCAACTCACAAAATAAAAGTAGTTACATTCATTAAGGATGCTGCTAGGCAGACATTGATTTTCGTCAATGATTAGTCAAGAGCAGACCCAAATGTTTTTTTCCATAAATTATGAGTGTCAAATTTATGTTTTTTATTTTATTAACTAAGTCATTTTCTACCGGAACACTTTTACTCTATCTTTACTGCACCATTTTAACACGTCCAACTGACATGGCAAATAACTTTTGAGCGCGTGAACATTAAAAATATACTGACAAAAATTATTTCAACGGTAAAATACACCCTTCCCTATTATATAATTAAACCTTCATTAGTTCCTCGCCCTTTCCTTAAATCCAGCCCTATTTCTTTACCCTTTTCTTGATTTTCTAGTTTAAAAATTCTATTCTTCTCTCCAAATTGAACGTAGTGTCGCCTGAGTGTTCGTATCTTGGCTTAAGCTCTCAATTATGTCTCTCACACCAAGAGTCGATTCATGCCGGTGTGGTCATGAATGTCAATTGAAAACTTCAGTCTCCATCTAATCCTGGAAGGATGTTCTATGGTTGCAAAATAGAAAAGGTAAGTGATATTAATTATTTTTACTATGTTGTCCCCAATTTTAGTTTGAATCAATTTTTTCGTTTGAAGGACAAAGGGGATGTAATTATTTTAGGTGGGTTGACGACGAGTTTCCTAGCCAAGCGAATAGGGTTATTTGGGGTTTATTGAACAGGGTCAAAGTTTTTGAAGAAGAAAGGGCTCGACCAAGAATATGGAGGAAGAAATTGGCTTCTATTATAGTAATAATGCTAATTATTTTGGTTTGCTACTGTGTTCGTTGATAGTTGATAGTTGAAGTTGTTGTGGTTTTGCTCATGGTTGGAATAGTTGTTGTATTTTGTGTCTTAGCTGCTCTATTTTGTGTTTGTACTGGTGGTTGATATATTTTGGGTGTATCTAGTTTGTTTGAATGTAATTGTGGCTTGTGGCCTTATTTCAATGAAATGAAGAATTTTTCTACAATTGCCTTTTATGTATTGGTTCAAATATGGAATTCAAAGTGCTAAAATGTTAAAGTTGTAACATGAACTCAACTGATAAGTCTTAACAAACAACCATCGCAGCCTACTGTAACGACCCGACCGATCGTTTTGAGAGTTGTAGCCCCATTCCCCCATTTACTACTCAATTTATGTTTTACAGTTGTTATGTGACTTGTCGGGGTGATTAGTTTGGGTCCGATGAGGTTTTAAGAATAAATTGGAACACTTAGTTCCAAGGTTTATAGTTTAAGTTGAAATAGTGACCGGATGTCGACTTAAGTGTAAACGACCCCGGAATAGAGTTTTGATGATTCTAATAGCTCCGTATGGTAATTTTGGACTTAGGAGCGTGTCCGAAAAATTATTTGGAAGTCCGTAGTGGATTTTGGCTTGAAATGGCGAAAGTTGAATTTTTGGGAAGTTTGACTGGGGAGTTGACTTTTTGATATTGGGGTCGGAATCCAATTCTGAAAATTTTCATAGCTATGTTATGTCATTTATGACTTGTGTGCAAAATTTGAGGTCAATCGGACTTGATTTGAAAGGTTTCGGCATCAAATATAGAAGTTGGAAATTATTAAGTTCCTTAATCTTGAATTGGGGTATGATTCGTGGTTTTAACATTGTTTTATGTGATTTGAGGTTTCAACTAAGTCCGTATGATGTTTTAAGACTTGTTGAGTATTTGGGTTGAGGTCCCGAGGGCCTCGGGTGAGTTTCGAATGGTTAACGGATCAAAATTTGGACTTAAATAGCTGCTAGAAATTTTTCTGCTAGAAATCGAGGCTGGAAATCGAGGTTGGAAATAGGTTAGAAATCGAGACTGGAAATAGGCTGAAAATCGAGGGCATGAAATTGAGGGCAGGAAATCGAGGGTTGGAAATCGAGGGCAACGCCTGGACAGAAACTTTAAGTTATAAAAAGGGGATTTCGTCTCATTTTTCATTTTTGACAAATTGAAGCTTGGGAGAGGCGATTTTTAAGAGATTTTTAAGGAAAAACATCGGAGTAAGTGATTCTAACTCGGATTTGGTCAATATACGCGAATATATCATTGTTTTCATCATTTAATTAGTGTTTTGAGATGGAAACTTGGGGAAGATTGTAGAAATTTCATAAAACAATTTTTTGAGATTTTGATGTCGATTCGGAGTCGGATTTGAGTGAAACCAGTATGGTTGGACTCGTAATTGAATGAGTTGTCAAATTTTGTGAGTTTCGTCGGATTCCGAGACGTGGGCCCCACGGGCAATTTTTGGGTTAAATTTCGGATTTTGTTAGAAAAATTATATTTTCTTATGGAGTTTATTCCTATAATTGGTATTGATTGAATCGAATTAATTATGATTAGATTCGAGCCGATCGGAGTCGGAAAATCAAGAAAAAAGCATATTACTTGACTAATTAATCGTGGTTTGAGGTAAGTGACTTGTCTAACCTTGTGTGGGGGAAATTTCCCTTATGATTGGTATTGATATAAAAATATTAATGTGTTGAAAGTCGTGTACATGAGGTGATGAGTGTGTACACAGGCTAAATGTGGAAGATTATGTCTTTAAATTGTGTAGAGCACTATTGCATATTAATTAAATTATTTATTCTATTATATTCATCATCCTTAATATATTTTTGTATCTTAAATTTGCCTGACCTGTTCCTGCTAAGTGTGTTACCTGTTTAGTTGAAACTCCATTTTTTTGTTTTGTGCATTATTTGAAAAATGAATTTCTTAAATTTAAATATTATTAAAAATGAAGTATTTTACATTTAAATTTTTTTTTATTTAGACAAGGTGTTAAATTTTGTGAAATATTATTTTTGCTGAATATTTTGTGAGCTTTTTGTACTCATTGTGATTGAGTCGTGAGCTCTTTATTGTGGAAAAATATTATTGTTGTTGATTTATTTTGGTAAGTTGAGATAGTTGGGCACTTGAGGTGCAAATTGTGATATATTGTGATGTTGATACGCATGCGGTGGTATAAAGTATAGGTGCTGAAACGTATGCGGTAAGATAAGGGTGGCTTGATACGCGTGGCTAGTAGGGGAACAACTAGAAGTCATGCGGTGTGATAAGGGTGGCTAAAACGCGGGATGCTATTTCGGGAAAAATATTTTCTTTAAAATTTAATGTGAAGGCTCCCGCGGTGATATAAGGAAATGAGATATTGTGGATTTATTTATAATTTGGGACTACGAGGCGGTACCTATAGAGTGTCCTTGTTGATATTTCTTTATGGCTGCATTGCCTTTGGTTATTTTTGGTGTTTTCCTTAAAATTGTAAATTTTTGTTTTCCTTCTGTGAGGTGTTAATTGCCCTTATTATGTGTAGTTAAATTGTGACATACTACTTACTTGATTTATCCCCATTATCATTATTGTTATTATATTGTTAAACTTTTCTCCTTATCTTTTATTATTCCAGTAGGGCCTGACCTGACCTCATCACTACTCTACCGAGGTTAGGCTTGGCACTTACGGGGTACCGCTGTGGTATACTCATACTACGCTTTTGCACATCTTTTTGTGCAGATCCAGGTACATCTTATCAGACCAGGTATCATTGAATTAGCCGTACGAGGAGATTTTGAGGTATATCTGCCAGCTTCCGCAGACTCTGGAGTCCCCTTCTATCTTATTATGTTGTCTTCCTTATTTCCTTTAGACTCTGATGTATAGAGACATTGAGAATAAATTCTTAGAAGCTTATGACTTATTTCTACCGGGTTTTGGGAGTTAAAATTGTTAAATTTGCAGTTCTTATTTATTCGACTGTTGAGGATTAAATTTCAATTTATATTTTATTATTTCGCATTGATAGGCTTACCTAGTCTTAGAGACTAGGTGCCATCACGATATCCTATGGAGGAAATTTGGGGTCATTACAAGTTGGTATGAGAGCTCTAGGTTCATAGGTGTTATGAGTCACAAGCAGGTTTAGTAGAGTCTCGTGGATCGATACGGAGACGTATGTACTTATCTTCGGGAGGCTATGTAACTGTTAGGAAAATGTTCACTTCTTGATTCCTTATCGTGCGCATTTGTTGACTTCGAAGTTCTAAACCATTGTCTTTCTATTCTCTCACAGATGGTGAGGACACACACAACTGGATCTGATGATCAGACATCCGTGCCCCCTGTTGAAGCCGCAAGAGGCCGGGGCAGAGGCCGAGGAAGACCACGTAGTGCAGCCAGAGCGCCAGCACGAGATACTGCAGAGGAACCACCAGAAGCTCCAGTTAGAGAACAGGCACCTGAGACGCCTGTTACTACTCCTCCACTTCAGGAGACTCTTACCCAGTTTTTTAGCATGTTTGGAACTCTAGCTCAGGTAGGGTTAATTCCACTTGCTCCTGCCATATCTCAGGCCGGGGGAGGAGCACAGACTCCCACCGCCCGTACCCCAGAACCACAGGCCCAAGTTGACCATGATCTAGAGGTTATACCAGTGCAACCAGTTGTCCCTGTTCGGCCCGAGGCTAGGGCAGCAGTTTCAGAGGGGGGGCAACTCAGGCTCGAGAGGTACAAGAAGTACCACCCTCCCACTTTCAGCGATTTAGCTTCAGAGGATGCTCGGGGTTTTCTTGAGGAATGTCATTGTATCCTTCATACTATGGGTATTGTGGATTCCAGTGGGGTTTCTTTCACGGCATTCCAGCTTAGAGGAGCGGCCTACCAGTGGTGGCGGGTATATGAGTTTGATAGTCCGACTGAGGTAGCTTCACTTACTAGGACTCAATTTTCAGATATTTTTTTGAGCGAGTATGTTCCTCAGAGTCTTAGAGATGCATGGCGCGCAGAGTTTGAGAAGATGCGCCAGGGTTCTATGACCTTGTCAGAGTATGTGGTCTGATTCAGTGATTTGGCTAGGCATGCACCAACCTTAGTTGCTACTGTTTGAAAGCGGGTTCGTCGTTGTGGGGATCCACCCTAGTATCAGATTCAATATGTCAGAGCTAGAGATGGACATCGCATACCAACAGGTGGTGTCAATTGCTAGGATATTGGAGGGTATGCGGATCCAGGAGAGAGAAGAGAGGGAAGCTAAGAGACTCCGAGATTCTGTCACGTACAACATTTCTCGTGCCCCAGCTGCAACCCGTCGTGGTAGAGGCTATGTGAGTCGTCCTATTCATTTAGCACTTTCATCTTCCAACGGTATTCCAGCTACTCCCAGACCTCAGGTTCCGTATTATGCACCGCTAGTGTCTAGTGTACCTCCTATACGGGGTCTTTCAGCGGGCAGTCTAATCGATCATGCCCGAGCCAGTCCCAGCAGCCACATCCTCCGAGGGCTTATTTTGAGTGTGGCGACACTCGTCATATAATAAGGGATTGTCCCAGACTTAAGAGGGGTGCACATCCACAGATTTCTCAGGCCCCACCCATTCCACAGGGCCCTAAGGCTTCTCAGGCCATGATCACTGCACCAGTTGCTACTCCACCTGCACAGCCAGCTAGAGGTGGAGGTCGGACAGGTAGAGGTCGCCCTAGAGGGGGAGGCCAAGCCAGATATTATGCCCTTCCTGCTAGGACGGAGGCAGTTGCATCCGATTCTGTTATCACAGGTATTGTTCCGGTCTGTTATAAAGATGCATCAGTCTTATTTGATCCAGGCTCCACTTATTCTTATGTGTCATCTTATTTTGCCCCGTATTTGGGCGTATCCCGTGATTCTTTGAGTTCTTCTATTTATGTATCTACACCCGTGGGTGAATCTATTATTGTTAACCGCGTGTATCAGTCGTGTTTGATTGTTATCAGTGGTTTTGAGACCAGAACTGATTTATTATTGCTCAGTATGGTGGATTTCGATATTATTTTGGGCATGAACTGGTTGTCACCCTATCACGCTATCCTTGATTGTCACACCAAGACGGTGACGTTGGCTAGGCCAGGTCTACCGCGGCTAGAGTGG